CCTGACGCCAAAAACGTTTTTGAGAATTAAACTAACGCACTAGTGTCCATAATATGACCGAGCATAAAATAAAACTACTTCATTGTGTAATTAAAACGTAAAAAGTTTGTTTGTGTCAAGTTATCTTCCCCTCGTAACATCCACACACGACGACGACTTAATGTTTGTTTGAAAAATGAGAGCGACCATTTCCGGTATAATTTAAAAGCTCTTGCTACGCGCGCGAAAACGACGGAGAGGAAATGACGTACATTAAATTATTTATGTAAAATAATTTCTAGATCTGAATGTACAAGTAAATACAAATTTAAATAAATAGAGAGAATAGAGAAGTTTATTAATAACATTTTAGTCATTTTGTTTCAGTGTGTCGATACATGTAATTCTCATATCTACTGAGCATATTTATCTATCTTGAGCTCATGTTGTCTTTCTTATATCTTTGCTTTACTACATATTTATATCCTTAAGCTCAGGGGTCTCCAACCATTTGTTCTAAAATAAAGAATACCTGAGAGCTACTCCTGTTGCGTATAATTTATTTTCATAGTTCAATTCGAATAAACAAACAGACTCAATAACATGTCTTTGCCTAAACATTTAGAATGTTACTCACTTTGCTAATTACTAAAGTAGATATCGTTTGATAGTAGAAAACTGAATTGAAAAAAATAAAATAATTCTGAATGACAACACTGGTTCAAAAGTATTGCTGCGATTAAATCTGTCACGAAGATTGCCACTTGTAGAGTGCAGTCGCTTGTACTATTTATGGCCAGTAGACGGCGACATTCGCAATTTTTGATTGATAGCTAAATTCCATGCCATTGCTACAGTATTTGCCAATAATACGTAGCTTTTTCCAAGCATCATTTTGGCTGACACGGTGTTTATCTGTTAGACTATCTACTAGCTAGTTTTTTTTCTTACTTTAAACTTTTGTTTTTTCTCAATGTCTTCTGCCTTTCTTACTTTGTTTTTTCTCAATGTCTTCTGCCTTCTTGGCTATCCTTGGAATATTTGTGAATTATTTATTAAAATTATCTTTCTTTCATTACAGTAATTTTTGAATTTGTGTTAATTAACACTGTCATTTTTCAAGGAACCTCCATCACCATGCATTAAAAAGCAAAATTTAACCCTCATTACCTGTGCAAAAATATCATAGTAAAAATAAAAGAGTTGACAGAGAGGTTAAAGCAATATCAAAGTTTTATTTTTAAAATGTAGTAGAGAGAGGAACAGTAGTACAATTCAGAAAAAGAGAGAGAAAAAGAGGAGAATGTCATTTCATCTTCGAAAACCTTTGATAAAAACGTAAAAAGAGTGACCTGAATTTGCGCTGTGTTCGGAGGGCACTGTGGTGCGGCCCCAGTTTTGCATCACTGTCAAAGTTCCAGAGGAGTTGAAAAATACAACCTTTTGCAACAGCGTAAAAAAATACAGCTGGGGAGAAAAAAACCTCTGCTTTTACATCTGTAGTGTTTTTGTGTGGTTTTCTCTTCGTCCGTATAACAAATACAGCATTAAATCTTAAAAGTGATCCATCGTAGTTTTCATCAGTTACAGTAGAATCAGTAGGACAGGAAGTAGTATCAAAAGAACAAACAAGACAACAGGATGGTAATGAACGAGCACACAGGGTGAACAGAGACAGAGAGGAGAGAAAGGAAGCGGAAGGTTTTAAGTTCATGGAAAATAAACCTGCCACGTCAGGAGGTGTGTGGCTGCCCGTCAATGTTTTCCATTGAAGTAAAACTACAAGTTAAATAATATATTCTTCATATTTATATTTCTCTCATTTAGTCTCCACACATATATATATATATATTTATACTTATATATATCCATAATATAACCCCTCCCACAGTGATTCGAAGATAAAAGTGACACCAAGAGAACGAGCATCTCTGACTTTAAATAGATCTGCTTCCACTACGAGTAAAGGGAAGTTCCACATTGTCTGTATCATTAGCACTTCAGTACATGATCCACTGCATATGAACAGATACTGCTGTTCCCAGGTTTTAACCCGCAAACAATCCGTGTTTCTTTAGAAAATATGTGCTTAATGAAAACAAAAACAAAAACAAGAAGGAAACATCTGTGGAAAAAAGAATAACATCTAGGGTAAAGTGAATGATTCGGTAGCATATAAACAATTCAAAAATCTCAACAATTACAGACACGAGCAAGGATTTTTTTTCTACACTAAGCAAGTTTTCACCTGGCTTTTCTCATACATTATAATTCAACAATAATTAAAAAAGAAACAACAATTTTGGTTGGACAAATAGAAATTAACAGTCTTGATTGCATTTTGGAGTCAATATATATATAATATTAAATAACAAAACAAAATGTCTAATAAAAAAAGTTGTGCATTGGAAGAAAGACACAACAGTTGTTTTTTTAATATAAAGTTCCATTCAGACCCGCTTTTGGGGAAGCAAAAAAGAAAAGCCACAAAAGGAAAAAATAAATGTGTTTTTTTTTTCATGAACGCAAAAGTAAGTGCATGTCTAAGAGGTGCCATAGAGCTTCACTTTTTGTGGAACAAAGTGTTTTTCTACCTGGCAGACCTAACAAATAAAATAAAATAAAATAAGGAATAAAATAAATTTACATCAAATTAAACCAAAAACGTCTAATGTGTCCTTTCAAACTAAAAGCTTCACACGTCATGACTTTCTCCCTCACAACCAACGTTCAAGTGATTCTCTACATACATATATATATATATATTTTTATATATATATATATTTATAAACTGTAATTTTCCTTATAAATTAGTACCAAATATAAACAAAACATATATTGAGATTGATTTGGGATTATCCACTAGGGCTGTCACTTTTCTTTAACAACATTCAAACAGATTTTGGCTGATACACTATGCCTTTAAAAACACTCTCACACCGCTTGGTCCTGGCAGTAAAATGTCACTGAAGGTTCGAGCCAATTTAGACACCTATGCTGTGATGTGCAGATTCAACATAGAATGCTAACGCTACAACCCCACGCACCATGATAAAATATGGCTTTTTTCCAAAATAATGGACACTAATTTCAAATGCACACCGACTCATGTGGGAAGCATGTACTCCACAAATCACTGACAAATCTGCACCAACAGCAAATTCAGATCAACTTCTCTTTCTACCTTAATTTTGGTGTCAGACAGTGTAGTCTGTCCACTGTGTGTCTTCTTTATTTAAATAGGCAAAGAGTGACTCAAAACTGCCATTGGCTCCCTCTGCTGGAGGACTGCACTATAAAATGACTTCAACAACAAAGAGTCAACATTTACCAACAACGTTTGAACACATTGTTAAATAATGGATGCAAAGTGACAGCCCTAGTTTCCACTTAGGTCCTTAAATGTCAACTGCAAGTACTGTCGGTAGTACTACAAAAATGGCATGTCTGTGTGTGGGGGTGTGTTGACATTAGAAAACATGAAAACGCATAAAAATAATGGCAAAGCATACCTGATAGTCGCCGTAGCACAACAGTGTTCTATAGATTAAGCTGATTACATACATGTATAACTGAGTCAGTTTAAGCTTCATGATTATAAACATCATATATAGCCTGTAGGTCCAGTATTCTGCAACGAGCATTACAGCACCAAACGTTTTATCATTTGGCAAAAATTCAAGCTTTAAGTGAAAGTCAAATGCTTTTAATAAAGTGTTACTGTGACGCCGTGATTTGTATAAAGCTAGCGATAACTCTTCCCCTTGCACTTTCGCTTTTTTTTTTTCTATTTTAAATTAATCCTCCTCCTCTCGCCTGACATAAACCGCACATTGTCTTCTTTTCACTTAAGCGTATTCAGTAGTTTTTTTTGTATCCCGCTAAATCTCGGTGTGCTGTCTGTTTGGCATCATATCACAGCCCTCTTAAATTAGTCATAAATATGGCTGTAATACATTAGAGTCACAAAACAGATTTTTTGGTTCCAAGATTTTTGCAGGGTAGGAAGAAAACAAAAGAGAAAAGAATAGAATAGAATATTTAGCGCATCTACACACGGGCTACAGAGTAACGTAAAACTCTTCCTCTGGGCGTTAACTGCTCTTCTAAAAGCACCAAGCGTTTAACTCTCGCTGACTGAGCAGAAAACGGCAGCCATGCTGCGTCGGCTGCTGCAGACAAAAATCAAAAATTTTAGCATTTGATAAGACCATAATAACCTCTCTTCATAAATTAAATAATTAACATCTCTTTTTTGTCTTTTATGGTGATTGGACTAACCCAGCTCAAAAACTACGTCATCACCCAGCCCACATTTCAACCCCCGCCCCTCCCCCAAAACAAACAAGAAAATAAAAATACATCACCAAAAACCTGATTCATCATATTATTAGTCATTAGAATCTTTCTCTTGTGGGCTCTGGGCCCAGAGTTGGACACATTTTAACATTAATAAAGTCTGTACATCTCAAGAGTCTCCACTCTATGAAAGCAATGTTTTAGCTTTATCCATCTCTTTGTCATATTCTTGCACAATTAAGTAACCGCAAGGTTTGATAGCACTTTGGAGTTGATTGTTTACCAGCTAGTTTTTTGTATACATATATATTAAACATCAACTTTCTACTTTGTTTCTTAAGCTTGTTAATCTTCTCAGTCCTTGTCCGGGGCACCACCAGTGTTGCCCTCACCCCAATTTGATTGGTCATTGTCGGTAGGCTCCTCCCCCTCCAGGTCTTCCACTTCCTCGCCTTCGAAGTCTTCGTCTCGGGGGAACTCCATGCCTTCCAGGCCCTCCTGAGTGGCCTGATGGGAGTCGGCACAATCTGCACACACACCGTATCGTCGTGAGCCATGGCGGATGCCGACGCTGGCGGCCAGCATGAAGATCTTCTTGCAAACCATGCACTTGTACTTCTTGTCCTTCTTGTGCACCTGTGGAGGAATGGAGAGGGAGAGAGAGAGGAAGAGAGAGGTGGGAGACAGAGGAAGTCAGATTAGATAATATGGGATTTGAGCCGATAACACTAGGACAGTGAGTTTTAGTCCCCACTTCGTCAAGTTTGGGTCAATGGAAACTTTAGGACCTGGTCTTGTTTCAACCGTCTGAAAAATATTTCTTCTGACAAAGACATTTTCATAATGGGTTGGTAAGAAATGTTGCATCTCAGTGGGATGGTCACCAGTGTGCGTCCCAGCTTTGCACAGACGGCCTTTCTGTTTGGAATTTGCATGTCTTTCCATGTGTGGGTATTTATCATCCAGTCTCCTCCCGGAGTACCAAGACTTGGAGAGGTTTTAAAGCTTTAATGTTACTGTTTGTCTCTGATTGTGGTTCTGTGATGGACTGGTGTCCAGATTATACTACTTGTTTCTACTTACTTGAGTGAGTTCTTGCTCCTGTTATGACTCTTAACTGAATACAGTAAGAATTCAAATGACTCTGGAGGATGACATGTTGGAGTGTATTTTTAAAGGAGATTGTTCTATTTTTAATGCACAAATAATGTTGTTACATCAACAAGGTGAACCAGAAAAACACTGTGAACGATGACACAGGTGACCTCACCAGGGAATGTCTCTTTACGTGCTCGCGGCGGGTGAACAGCTTTCCACAGATGTCGCAGCTGAACGAGCGCACGCCCGAGTGGATGATCAGGTGCCTCTTGAGTGTGCGCCGGTGTTTGGCGATGTAGTTACAGTGCGGGCACTTGAGCTTATTGAGGGCGAGGTGTGAGGACTCACCTGATTAGAGACAAAGAAGAAGCACAGACATGCAGCAAAACGTCAGAGTCACAGACTAAGCAGCACAAAAAACCCTAAAATCCAGGTTTTAAATGTGTAGGTTGAAGACGGGTAAGAACATTAAGTTTGATGTTTCTCTGCCATAATGAACAGTGTGAAGCTTTTATATCTCCAAAAACCATCACTATGGCAACCATGTCATTCACACAATGCAGGCTTGTCAACTGTTGCTAGGTAACTGGGCGCCTGTTGGCAGCTTCATTAACATGATGGCAGTGTCACCATGGTAATATCAGGGACAGAAACAGACTTATTAGTAGTAATGTACATCAGGTTAAACAACAGTGTTGTCCAGTACAGGTACCTGGAACCTTTCATTTTTAGTTAAGGTTCGGTATTGATCAGAGGACTTTTACGGTGGTCCAGACCAAACATTTACGTTTCTTTAAATTAATCCTCAAATGGTAAATATCTGCTATTAGCATATCTACGCTGAGGCTACCTTTATTGTGACTTCATCGATCAGCTTTTCATGCTAAGATCAATCTGATGTCTGTAGAACCTCATCCCAGCGTCTTTCATGTGAACTCCTAATGGCAGTGAGTTGTTTGAGTGCCGTTAATGACAGGTGTTTATTAGCAGTCAGTGGACCGACCCCATGAGGCAGTGCTAAAACAGTGTGAATAGGAGGAGAAGCCATAAACAGTGAACATCTAGTCCAGATTTTCTACTCCCTACATGTCTTGACTGGAGTCCAGTGAGTAATCAGACTGAATCACTGAGACACCTACAGACTCTTTTGTATTAGCTGCAAATTAAAGTGGACAAGGCTTCACTTTTGCCTAAAGCTTGTGTAAAAAAAACAAAAAAAACAAAACAAAACACTGCAGGCCTCTGCTTGTCTCTTCACCCTGTGATATCAGTTTCCTTGTCCTTCTGTTTTTTTATTATTATTATTGCTCATCTATCAGTGGTGGAGGGGAAACTCCCACTTTCCTAAAAATGTTTTCTTTGGTGATAGTTGTCCGTCACCTGAGCCCCACGTCTACAGACCTAACATGTTCTTAACGTGTTCTACTGTATAAACATTCTATTTTAGTTTCCCTACCTTTATAATCATCTATAAAACAGACTTTAATCTTCACTGTGCAGAAGAATAACAATGAGGTGACCAGGAGCGTCAGGATACAGTACAATAATAGTGTGTTTCTGTATTGTAGTCATTGAGAAGCTGTCCCATTACTGTGTGTTCAATGTTTGTAAAAGAAACAGATGAAAACATCTTTACACAAGCACCGTCTTCATTGTCCCTCATGGGATATTGAGACTGGAGAGCTACAGAGAACCGGTTGAAAAATAAATAAGCAACCTATTGATTTTGAAGAGGCTCCAAATGGAGCTGGGAGTCTTCACTGTGCAGAGGGAGGGAGAGTGAGGTGACGGGGGCTTTTGTTTGAGCTGGGGAGTAACACAACAAAGGCGTTGTCAGGGTAGGTTGTTAGGGGGGGAAGAGGGGATGATAAGAAGCAGGTCACCTGTGTATTCACTCTGCATATGTTTGTGAGGAAGAAAAGAATGTGTGTGTGTGTGTGTGTCAAAGAGCACCTTGTGGGAGTGTGATAGCTAAGGCTAAATGTGTAGCACTGTTTTTGTTTGGAATGAAAACAAAGTTCAGATGCTTCTGAATGAAAAACAATCTCCATCCACATGAGTGAAAGGACTTCTGTCCTGTCAAAACATCAGCACAGACGTGAACAGTCACGAATTACTGGGTGACTAGCTGTTGGTTTAACTTTAACTACGTTTTTTTTTTTGCTGGGTCTAGAGGTTACTAGTAATCAAGGTTTTTTTGTTTGTTTTCTTCTGGACATGGTTTAAAGTACTGTGACACAAGTCCAAATCAGAAAGTGCTGCAGTTTTAAGACACCTACAGATACTGGAAACACAACTGACAGAGAACAAAATTAAATGTAGTCAATCAGCCACTAATGTAGCAAAAGATTTTAGAAGTGCAGCAGTCTGAGTTGAATGTAATAACCTTCTTACAGTGAGAGTAGAGGGTCTTACCATTCTCCCAGGACTCCCCTTGCTGTAGGTCTCGAATGATGCTGTACTGGATCTGATTGGCCAACTCTGGGGGGAAGGGAGAGGGAGACATGAGAGGTGGTTTATCATCTGTAAGGGGGGGGTGCAATGCCTTTCAATGCCTTGTGTGTACAAAACTAACCACCTTCCCCGAGGAACAATAGGAGTTTCAGTTAACAGCGTACATAAAACACATCCCTACTATATGTAAAGCAGTCCCATCCCCAGGCCACAGCAACAGACCAATAGTCCAACCCAGGCTCCAGCGGTGGAGGAGGGGCTTCGTTAGAGAACAGCAGTGAGTCGGGTCCTCACTGCAGCTCGACTTACCTTTTGTAAGCACTTGTGTGTGAGCACCTGTGTTTGTTTGCGCCTGGTTCCTTCAGCATCCGCGCTTAGGATCCATTAAAGACACGCCCCTGTGAGTGTGTGCGTGTCTATTCTCCCTGGGTCAATATTTGGAATAGTGAGGACAGCCCCGGTGCATTAGAGTGGATTAGAGAAGGAGGGGGACGGCCCCTGGCGGCTTTGCACCTCGCAGGAGCTGGTGGTGGGTGTGGGGGTTTTTTGTGTGTGATCACTTTAACCCTGGACCAGCGTGTATGCAAATGCATTTCACCTGTTCTGACTGCGTGCAGCACCCGCCCCTTAAACAATCCAGCAGAGTTGTTTGGAAAAGACTCAAGAATTTACAGGCCACGGGTGAATGTTGGCTGTGGGCTCAGGCTTTTAAAAGCACACAGCCTTGAAACGCAGCGAGAGAGTTTCATTTCAACATGCACGAATCCTCTTATCAGAAATGCTGGTGAACTCTCTGAAATGCCACACATAACTGGAAACATGAAGGCTCACACGAGCCAAGTTATAACAGGGTCAAATCCTCCTTTTTGTAATTGTTTGGGGGTCAGGAGGTAGGGAGGGGGCTAATGGTATTATGCAATGCAAATGTGGCAGTTGCCATTTCATGCTGTTTAAAGGACTTGAACTCCTTGACACTTGACCTCTATCGTCTGAACCTTCCCTTTAAAAATGCACCCCAACCTTTTCAATAGGAGACGACAAAAAGCAGGTCATTGTGGCACACGCTGGGTCAGTAGAGCCAGGAGTCTGTTGTTTGGCTTCATTCTTTTGATAAATCCACAGAACTCTGTGGAAAAGACCCAGAACACAATCACAGAGAGTGACTGGTTGATAGCAGGGATGGATGTTTTCATCAGTTTCTCCCAAAAATAACACAATAACACATTACCCACAATGCCAAGTCCATCTTTGCAGTGTGGCAGTTTTGGGTGATACGATAGGCTTCAAAAGGTCACAAAGGTTGAAATGCTCATAATATTAAATAAGAAACACCGTGTCGTAGGAGACACGAGACAAAGACATGTATGACAATACTGAGAAACAAAAGTTTGGAAGTAAAACGTTAAAGCCCTTCTTTCTCCTCAGTGACTGTATATAGTGTATGTTAACAGGATAAACTGATAATCCACCAAGGGCAGGATTAATTTAGGTGCATTAAATATCTTTTATGCTGCGACTGTGTGTTTTCATCTTGGATGAAGATCAGTCCAAACATTGTTACGACCTTTTTAGGACACAGAAACACCATTTGCAGCAGCATGATGGTAAGGTGAGGTTAATGGAGTTGCAAATCCTTTTGAGCTATTTTGTCTGTCTGACTCAAGGTTTGGTCCCTGTACTCTTGACTTGGACTCCTGTGTCTTTCTAAATAAGGCAGATATGTTGTATTATACAGCAGCCCTCACTTATATAACAACTTAAAAAGTAACACTCCTCATCTTTCAAAACCAACCGAAGAAAAAGGTTTGTCTACGTAGCGATGTTACGCAGAAATGAAATTTTAAAATGCTTCTTCTAAATGGTTTCCCTGTATCTTATAAAAAAATGGGTCGGAGATCACAGGCTCCGGGAACATCAAAGAGCATCAGGGATAATTTGTTGCACATTTTGGACTCTCTGGACACACCACATGTTAGGAAACATCTTTCTCATGTCTAGTTTTACTGAAGACAGTGATCGGTGATTTGACTTCTGTCTTCTGGCCAGTGATTTCTGAGGAAATCTCAGCAGATTATGTATTTATGAGTAAATATCACTTTTAGTGATAGTTAAAGCAAGAGGTAACATTATGGACCAATCAACCTCTGATGAAGAGGAGACGGTTGGACATGAAGACAGCCTTGGTCTTCCAGTCAGTTTCTGTCCATGCTGCTACAACACTCAATATCACTTTGTGAACACATTAAAAAGAACACTAGGAGGAGTTGGAGGCACTAAGAGCATTGGAGTGCATTTAGGGGGAGGCCTGGGAGAAGAAATGTTTCCCCCCGCATTCTTCATTAGCCTGCATTAGGGAGGACTTCTCTCCCTCTTCCTCCTGCCTGCCTTCCCTCCCTCCCACCTCACTCTTTCTCACACACAAATAAAGTTTGTGTGTGTTCAACCTCACACATCGCCTGCATCCTCGTCCATACCACTCTGCTTGATACGTGATATCATTATGGTTGCACAAAGTGCTGCGCTTAATGCAGCCAACAGAAGGAGCGGGCTGCAGCTGAGAGAAAGAGAGGGAGAGATTAGAATGAGCGCTGCACTGCACGTGGACAGCATGGATAGAGCGGTGGGTGGATTAAAGATACAAAGAGAAAGGATTCTGAGTGTACAAAGTCAAAATATGGAAGATTGGAAGAGTGAAGGTTCCATCAGGTAAGAAGGAGTGAAGGCCAAGCAGTGATAACACCAGTATTTCCACATTCAATGTACATCAGATAATCGAATGCCACAGATAAAATCACTAAAGAGAAAGAAAGAAAAAGGCGTTGGGAGGGAGTCAGAGCGTGAGTGAGAAAGACAGAGAGAGGGAGAGAGCAACTATAATTGATGTCTATTTATGTATAACAGTTGTGTATGGCCATTAATGGAATGAATATAAATTTTAAAAAGTCTAACCACTGACTATTGTTTGTTTGTTTGTTGTAGTGCAGTCAGCTACAGTGGGGCAGGAGACAAAACAGACAGGGTATTGTTTTCTAATCAATATACAATGATTAAAAAACAACTCATATAGTATTATATAAACTGGTCAGTAAAAGCAGGCCATGGTCTACAGGAAACATCATTTTATGTTTGCTGCCATTTTGAAATCAATTAAAGTCAAAGTACATCTATGGAAATATTCTCAGAGTAAAAAACACTGGTGTTCTACGACTTCTCTCTGCAGGTGGGTGTACCTCACAACCCCCCACATCCACCTGATCTGGAGTGATGTGCAGAGCTCATGGCTCAGAGTGGAGTGAGTCACTGTTTAACAGCTTGTTGAGCAAACATCCACACTGTTGGTGCAGCAGCAGGATGTTGATTAAAAGCATGAAACAGATACGTTTGCCACTGTGATCAATAGTTTGATTGATTGTCCGGGTGTTTTCTACTGCAGGCGACCACAGTTTGCCATTTCACCACTGAACTGCAATTAGTTGTGATGACAGATTATTCATTCAATGGCAGGGGCAGTGCCTTTGCCCAGGAAGAACAGAACAGTTTTAAAACCACTCAAGTGAAGGTTTGCTCTGGGATATAGTTCAGACGAACCATTAGAAGAGTGACAGACTTTTATTTTTAAGAAATACCATAATATGATCTATTTGAAGAATGTACTGTCTGAATATTTCATGGGAAAGATGGTGGATTTTTTCATTGCATGGTTTAGGGAGCCAAAGTTATTTAGAGCCAATCACCACTGCTGGCCAGCAGCTGAACTGCACTTTGGACTGCATTTTTTGTGGGGGAGAATTTGTATTAAGTTCTCACACAAGTAGTCGATATGATATTGATGTAAATATGTTTAAAAAAACACGTCTTGTTTATGTATTGTCTAATATACTATTTGTAGCTGTTTCAGTCTTTTCCTCTTGCTTTTTATTGTCTGTGCAGAGTATCACATTCAGAGTTATACTGCACCGCTCCTCTTAATAGTGCTGCACTTTGACCAGGATCACATTGTAAAGCCTGCTGCACTACAGGCTATTCACATGCTTAACTAAAAGTGATTTGACTCTGATGAAGGACTGGGCCTGGAAACATTGGTATGACATTTCTGGTTAAACACAACTAAACTGTTACGTTAGAGCCATTTAAAAACCTTGAGTAGAGAGAAAAGATCAAAACCTCTATCCAAGGAAAATAAAATAATAATCTTCCTTCATTTTCAGGCTACACAGGTTTGGTAGCAACAATCAGTCAGTGACGCTCAAACTTTAAAACTTTTTAATCGGAGAGAAAATGTTTTTAGTGTAAATGTGTCACTTACCAGCATTTTCAGAGAGGGAGGAAAAGTCCTCTCTTGGGTAGGAAGCTGAAGGTTGAACGAACATCCCCTCATCAAATCCCTCCTCAGGCTCTGGTGGGAAGTTGTAGACAAAACGCCTAGTGGTTGCCTGTTTTTTCCTCCGCCCGCTACCGGCGGCAGCGTCTGGTGCCTCTCGCTTTATTGCCGCAGGTGCTGCAGCAGCACCACCTTCAGGAGGCTCGTTCCAGACGAAAACCTGCGCCTGGTCGCTCGCCGCCTGTGTTTCATTGGTCTCTGCTGAATCGGACGAATTGTCGTTGTTTTGGGTCCAGCTACCCGAGGATCCGGGGGTCACCAGGGCACAGCCCTCGCTTCCGACCACTGTCACCTCAATGTCGCTGTGCTCCTCCTTCACCCTGCCGTTTTCATTATCGTCCACCACTTCTTTTCCTTGGTTGCTGCTGGCCTGGATGGACAGCTTCGACAGGATGCTCGTGGCCCAGAAGTTGCTTGGCTTCCGGTCCAGCCTTCTGTGTCCCTCTTTGGCTACCGTCTGTCGTTTGTTGTAATCTACCACTACTGAATCTGGAGCCTCCTGCTTGCTGCTGATATTCAAGGCATCCTTAATGAAAGCCCTACACCACTGAACTACCTCTGTCATCTGAAGGTAACTGGCAACAGACATCACCTCAATGGCATTTTGGCTTGTAAGCAGCAGATTCCCCGAGTAGAGAAAGTCAAGAATGACAGAGAAGCCCTGCACAGCAGCAACATCTAGGTGTGTGACAGTAGCCTGGTCCTGGGCCTCACTTTTGGTCAGACAGTAGAGGGTTTTAAAGTAGCGACTTCCTGCAACCAGGATGTTCTTATGTGCACGGAAAACCTGGCCGGAAACAACTATGTTGACATCACAGAGGATTCCATTTTTGCGTTGCTTGTCCAGCTCCTGGAGGAGCTGGTAACAGTAGGAGTTCTCGTTGGGTTTGTTGCGATAATCTTCTTCTGAGGAGTTAGTGGAGGGACTGGCGTTCTCTGAGGGCCTCATTGTCTCCTTCAACAACAAAAATAGAGAAAGACAAGCAGTGTTACAAACTTTGCATACTCAGGCTGTAGTAGCACGAAAACACACACGAATACCCGTACATGCACAAACGCTAAAGAGGTGGCCCTAGGGGTTGAACTGGTCAGACAGGATTTTGCTAGAAGCTGTGTGGGGTGAAACCAAAACAGTATTACTATAAGGTAAGCAAAATCACACAGTCCTGTAATCATAATGTTTCCTGTTATTATAGTTTATTCACATGTGATCAGTTCAACTTTCTAATTGGATTGGGACTTGACATACAGTTCGTCAAAACCAGATTTCACTTCACAGTTAGATTATTACCAGGAATTGCCTCGTTAGGGAATTATGTGCGTGTGAGTGTTCATTTGTTTATTGCAATAAGGAAATACAGCTTAGTTTAAGTCACACTCTTTACTGAAATACAGGAGATAGTATTTCCACGTGAAAAGCAGTACTGACGTAAATGCTCAACTAGCTGTGTTGGATTGTAATAGTTAAAATATTCTTTTATTAAGTGAGACTTTTTCCTACTTTGTGTTCTCACTGTGGTTTGTGTTGAGCTCAAACCTGTACACTACAGCCCATTTCACAGAGAGTGCCCCACCTGTGTAACACAGCCTTCAGGTTCACTGCATATTTATTGAAAGCTTCAAAGGTATTCTGGAAAGCTTAAATCATTTTACCATTTTGAACTTCCATACAGCTAAAGGTTCCACTGTGTTACTTAGATTAAAAATATCTTTAGTTAGGCCTGGAGGAGGGCGGACCAGTGTCCAGAGCTGGGCTCAACCTGACTGTAGGAAGGGAGGGGAATTGGCAGAAGCATAGATCTACCCTGTAACAGCCCCACTCCTCCTTCTGCTCCCCTTAACATGGGAAAACAGCCAGCCTGGTACAAAGCAGAAACAAATGGAGTGAATACACACAGACACATATGGAGACATGGAACCACAAAGCTTGGACAAAATGTACAACCTTTTCTGTCAAAAAAAAGGTAGACTCAGTAGCAGCATATAATGTAGTGTTTTAACCCAGAGCACACAAAGAGGCTCTGCCTCATTTTACAATCGCACAACAGATGTCCTAATCCAGAATAATTCACATTGCTTCAGCTCTGCATTTTTGCCCCCACACGCACACACGCACACAGACCAAGCTGCCTACATGCACACATACACAGCTGGGGTTTCAGCTGGAGTAATTCAGATTAACTCCATTTCTCTGAGGTCCCCACCCTGCCTCCTCCTTCCCTACTCCCTCCACACAGCAGCTCTTGTCCAGAGCAGCCAGGGCACACAGGGTAGACTGGGATGGGGGGGCTTATCATCCTCTTCCACAGCTGGAGGGGAAAAGAGGAGGATAAAGTGAAAGCCCGAATGAGACGGAGATGAAGATAGATTGGATGAAATGAATGATAGAATGGGGGGAGATATGGAAAAGGCCAAAGTGCTTGAGCTTGTCAGGCCAAAGAAAATAATACATGGAGCAAAACAGGAAATATTAAAAGATGAAGTGAGGGTAAAGTAGAAAAAGGCAGACAAAAGTAGGTTAAAGGAAAGCTTGATGAGGCAAACAAAAAAGACAATGAGCCAAGGGATTGAGAGAGTGAGATCTCAAGCCTTCAGAAAATGGGTGGAGGAGAAAATGTAGAGCGAAGGGGCACGAAACGTCAGCACGGGAGAGAGAGGAGATGGGTCACCCCATTTTAGCCTTCACAATGGCCCGTGTTCTCCCTGAGGCTCATTGTCCACTCACTGTGGGTCTTTGTGAAAGAGCTCAGCACTCACTCTCTTATTACACAGCAGCTCCCACTCGTAAGCATAGAAAGTAGCCCGTCTATATGTGGGTGAGGCCGAGAGGATGAAGATGAGGCTGAAAAAAATATTTCATGATATGCACATCAAAGCGTCCAGGAAAGAACGCTCATCACGTCGAGTGTTGAAGAGCAGGAGTGCAGTCACGACAGCATGAGTGGGATGGTTGTTGTTTTTTTGTTTTTTTTGGCTTTGTCTCTTATTCTCTTACTTTGTAAGGATGGTGACTAGCAAGCTTTTTTCTTTTTCTTTTTTTTTTTTACAAAGCTTAAAACTAAATTTAAGTTGGCACCTTGCCTCAGCAGACGGCTGTGTTAAGGGAAACCATAATACACCAACATTCTTATACTTCTCATCTAAGAACGTTTGTACATTTTATCATATTTAATACCTAGCCATTCAAGCCCAAGGTCTGCAACTCCCCACAGGTTTTATTCATTATACACATAGCAAGGCAACAAGCCAGAGAGGTAACACTCTGCCTGGTAGCTCTGTGTGTCAGGTTAGTGGAGTCAGGTTAGGACAGCCTGGTACTGGATAAGTTGCTCCACACTGGCCTCATCATCATCATCATCATCATCATCATCATCATCATCAGCTGCAGCAGCATCATCCTTTCTCCAGATGTGCCACGTGTGAGGTGGGAGTTTAAAAACCAGCAGACCAACCCTGCACAGCAGATGCTGGAGGCAAACACCAGCCAGAGCCAACAGGGAATGTGGGGACCATATCAACCTCCCCCTGGTAATGACGTGGCTAGGTTTTTTTTTTATTATTATTTTAGCCAGAGATGGTTAGGAGGTGGGAGGGGAACAGCTGCAGAAGCAGCTTTATAAACCATTGCCTCAAAGGCTATGGCTAGTGGCAGAAGTAGATGTGATTTACAGGTGAATTCATTAAACCAAGCACGTCATGGATTCAACCTTGCTGTGAGCAGACCACACTGCCTAAATTTGCTTCATCTTGAAGAAAAGAACCCTTAAACAAATACTAACCACAAACCCAAACAAACCACAGGGCCCCAAGGCCAGCAGATCATGACAAACACGCAGACACACCTCTAACAGATCATGTGATATACCACTGTACCCATGCAACATAATGACCCACTGGAGCCAGTTTTGTTTACCTTTTACACACACATTTGCCTCCATCCCCTCCCTCGGTTGTCCCTATCCAGCATTAATCCAGTCCCATGGCCAGCCCAGCCCTGAGGCAATCTACGCCGGTCCTCCCCAAACTCCCCATATCTACTGTATCCTTCCCTCAATCCTCCCTCCTCGTTTACCCAACCCGTCTTTCCGTGGATCATAGAACAATACTGCTGTGTGCGTTTGGCCCAAGGTGTGGGAGGGCTGCATCAAGTGTCTCCCGGTCACCCAACAATGCCTTAATAGAAGAGGGGGAGAGACAAGACGGAGAAAAAAGGGGAGGGTAGAGCCGCTGATGGATTCAACAAGAAGAATTCCCCCTCTGGCTCCACCACACCCCATTCCCTTGACCCGTGGCCCCCAATAAACATCCCATCTATCTGGCAGACACCAGACCAAGCTGGGCGTATCTCCTTTCCTAGACAGGGAGACACGCACTTAACAATAAGAATGGTGTTTGTCTTCACTGAAACAGGGGTGAAAATGCCTTGAATAACCCCTGTGTACCTGAACGTCCCTCCTGGGAAACAAAGTGGTCTGTTATCTTATCAAAAAACCACTTAGGACTGACATGTCATGAAGGTAAAACATTCTGTCGGTTAAACCTCCAGCACACACAATTATGTAAAAAGTGAGCAAGACTGGTGGAGAACCAAAACTGAAACTTGCTTCTCTATGACTTCACCAAGACAAACCCTTTCTCACTTCCATAAAGCATTTTAATTAAGAAAGTACTGTAACCTGAGCCACCTGCACTTCTGCAAAGCAGTACACTTCCAACAATGTTGTGGCAAAATAAATGTTGACACATATACGACAGTCACGTCCTGTGTCCTGAAGCTAATTTAAGCTAATCTCTTACACCTTTCTTTATGTTTTATTATTTTTATTTTTGAGCGCCTACACTGCCAACTACTGGGTCATTTCTCCACTATAATTGTAAGTTTATGATAAGGTACCCCACCAAACATTCAGATTTTTTAAATAACCCATCTTCTTAGACTCAATCTGAGCACAAGACGAGATCTAGAGAATTGAGCACAACGACCTCCTTCTCCAAGGAGACCCACATTTAACACAGCTGCCCCTGGTGTGCTGGGGCTAATCGAGTTAGCTTTAACGAATGCAGCAGAGGCCTGACTAATGTCAGGAATGGGTGAATAGAACAAGACCTTGGCTCCTAATGCTGTAATTGCCCTTTAATGTAGTGCTTACAATGCAGTCTAGGCTCTGTTGCTCGTTATGACTGCTGCACAACGTATATGAAGAAAATTAGAGTTGAATCTAAAGAGCAGTCCCAGACATTCACTCTCAGGAATATAGAATTAAGGCAACAGAACAACAATCAGCCACTAGCACGCAGAATTAAATCTATTCCAGTTATACATGGAACCTTGTCACTCTACCCAACACAGAAACAAAATGGCCTGAGTAACCTCCGGTTACACTGTACAAGCTCTGTGTTGCTAGGTAAAACCCACACCAAGCCCCTAATCCACCAGCCCTGCGCTCCTTCTCAATTAGAGATGTGCACAAGTTAGCAGATCACTTTAAGTCATTGTGATTAGTGATTGCGTGTACAAAGAAAGGAACTAATGTAGTAGTGCAATCCTCTTCCCTCTCAAATTAGTCAAATGGAAACCACACACTTGAGGCCACTGACAGCTCAGACCGTTGTCAGGATATGAGGCCAAATGTGGAAATGTATGTGTACATGTACAAAAATCTGTAAAGAACGGCAAGTAACTCATTTTTATTATTTAGAAATGATGGGAGAAATGTATGTGTGTGTGTGATTTTTAGGACATTTAGGTTTAAGTTTTAACATGGTGTATAAAGCATGAAAACATCAAGACAACATTACAAAAGAAAAGATCAAAACTATTAGATATTAATAAAAGTATTAAGTTGACAGATTACTCAGCTAACCATTTTTGCCCAAGTTTACACTTACAGTACTCGTTCTGTGTGCCCTGAAGGCATGACACTGGAGCACAATACCTGAATGATACACAGCATTCAGGATCAGGTGATGCCATGTCAATTCTATTTACTACCATCCATTTCTCCCACTTCAACCTATTCAAAGGATTACATAGCCTGTGGGCCAGCAAGCTGTCAGTCTTGAGGCAACGTGATTTACTCTGCTCTTCTTGTCCAGCCCCCGCAAGTGACACCATGTATGGATTTTGGGGGGTCATTCTCGCACAATGCCTCTAATTTAGCTCCCCAAAGGAGGGAGGAGGTGGAGGAGGAAGAAATGCACCAGAGGTCACACGGGACTCGAAGCAGAGGCAGAAGAGAATGAGGAGGCCGGAGGCCGGAGTCGGGGGGGTTGGGAAGGGGTGCGGTTCCCCAAAGGCTGTTAGGGTCAAGCCTTTGCCATTGTATGACCTTTAGCAAGCTAGTAATCAAAGCAGCTGCTGACACAACAAAAGGACTTGCTGTACACAGTGAGCATCTAATAAAGTGCTCCAAGCCTCCGCTAATGTTCATTACGTGTTAATGACTTTTTTTAGGCAGTTGGAATTATTAACAGCCATTCGTGATATGCAATCCATCCCTTGATTGAAACTAGCCTCTGGAAGGACAGTAGTAATGGCAGGTGTAACATATTAGCAGGTTACCTACCTGGTGTGTGCAAACACATTTTAGATGCCTGGTCAGATGACCTAACCACTATCAGAAGACATCACTAGTCACAGACGGATAAAAGGTGGAGCAGGCATAACCAAATGCTCTACTAACCCTACAACTGCCAATGATCTTCAACAGTGACAGCTTTATAATGCACTATTAGCCAGATCACATCTTGTCAGTTTTTAACGATATGAGGATATTACTCAATATATTCAATCAGTTTTCATAATCCTTACAATCCTATATTCACAAACAAAATCAGATATTAGATATCAGATATTATTATTATAATCAGATAACAGAAAATTATAGAAATTCCAGTCAGAAAAAAAATAAGCGGTCACAGAATGTGATTGGCAGCTTATTTATCCACTATAATGCTGGGAATATTCACTCTCATTACAATTTCATCAACTCCACACAATAGACTTTCAGACTTACTTTTCAATATTTCATGACTTCATGGCTATATTTTACAAAAGAAAAACTTAAATTTTTGAGGTGAGTCCGTGGGACAGGAAATATGTTATACTGTATATAAAAAACAAAGTGTTATTTCTACCAGAGCACTGTCAGTCTTGCAACAGAGCTGCTGGTGGCACAATCCTTTTCTTTAAAAACTGTCACCAAGGCCACCCTGTATAACCATAGCCCTTAAAGCTAACCTTTCTTGGTCTGTTGTAGAAAAGCTTTTAAATATAATAAAAAACAGAAAGAAAAACTAAAGAGTAGTCACATTAAATGGTGGCTGAGTTCGCGTTGTGGTGTTGCTATTAACTTACTTAGTCGACTTTAGCCGTGCTTAGGGGCTTTCCATTCCTGTCACTTCTCTTCTTCTTTTCTACTTAGGTCTAGAAGAGGCTACTTAGCACCGGCTAGTCGATAGCTCGGGTTAGCAGGCTGAAGCTAATTAGCCAGGAGCAGGGACTGTAAAGCAGTATAATAATAGCCAAGTTTCCCCTTTCAATGTTGTTTTAAAGTTGTGTAAATTGAAACTATAGGCCACATAACAAAATAAGAACCGGGACACTGGGTGACAGACACTGTTAAAAGTGACGAGAATGACAGGAGTGCCGGACGTTACCTGTTTGGTGGGGTCATTCCTGCCGTGCTCAGAGGACAGGTGATGTCTCAGCAGCAAGGCCCGCTTGTAGTTCCGGCTGCCTTTCACCAGCTCGTCGCTGTTTTTAGTGGCAATGTTGTGACACCAGGAGCAGGACATGAGTCCCGTCTCCTGGCAAAATTTAAGCCACGGAAATTCTTGCAACCACGACGCGTGGAAGAGCGAGTGTTTCTGAAGCAACGTCTGTGGTCTCATCTCTACTCCAGATTTCCTGGATCCCGTGTCTCCGCTACCAGACTCCTGCGCGTCAGCGTTGCTGAGACCGTTCCCTGTCGCCCAGCTCCTGCTGTTCCCCTCCCTGGAACCGTCCTCCTCCTGTGCTTCCACCGAGCCGACGCGATTGTCGCCGTCCCCTGCTGCCCAGCTGCCCCCTTCCGGGTCCTCTTCTTCCTCCGCTTCAGGTTCCGTGCTGTCGCTGACAGATCCAGCGCCCATAACTCTCCTGCGCGACGGTCCTTTCGCTCCGAGATCCCGGTCTTCCTCCTGATCCTGTCTGTTCCCGTTAAAATGTCGATCTTGACAGGCCGGGGCCTCCCAGCTGTTACAGTTTCCCCCGCCGATGCCACTGCTGGAGCCCGTTAACCCAGCTAATCCGCCTCCCCGGAAAGCCAACGACCTGCGGTTTCTCTCACCGGACATTTTTCTGTAATATCTATGACAATCTTCACTTTCTCAACAGTATCCCCTCTTTACGGCAACAACAAATAATAATAACGTCTGTGCAAAACGATGTTTCCCGTAAGAGATGAGGCGTCGTCGTGTCTTTTCACCGCTCCGGCCCTCCCGGTGAGAGTGTGTAGGTTATGCGGAAATAAATAAAGGTTTTAAAGGCTTGATGAATTTCAGGGTTCTCAGTGCGTCCGCGCAGGCCCCGCAGAGGTCGAATGGCAACGACTTTCCTCCCCACAATGCACCTCGAGCAGAGAAAGGGGGGGTTGGAGTCAGAGGGAGGGGACGGTCTGTATTAAAGGAAGATGGGGGTGCTGTTCATCAGCCAGAGGTATAATAAGTGTTTGGAGGCTGCACCCTTTTACCCTGGTATTCCTTTGAATCACTTCAATGGATAAACAATTAATTTTGTTACACCTGGATTCCATCATATGCGGGTATAGACAGTGTTTATACATATATTTATCATTTATGTATTCACACTGCATATGTTCATACAGGACAAATACTGTACATGTACACACTTTATATATATATATATATATACTTAAAAAACGTAAGAGATCATATCATAACACTATATGTACATATACTATATGTTATAATATCAAATACTTATAATATGATATAATATAATAATAGTATGACACCTGCTTTATCGTAAAGTATAAATGTAGTACAGTTTACACTACTGTAACTACACGTATATGGGAAAATAACGACAGTTAGTATTGTTTTAAGTCATATGATGTTTGACTAAGCAAATATGAAACAGGTATCCTCCAGGGGGAAGACAGAGATGTCGTAGCCTGGAGTAAAGTATTCTGTAACGTCTTGTTCCTTGTCATTATTAAAAAGTCCAGCAGGTGGCACTCTTTCATGTCTCTATCTGTGGGTGTGGGTGTGCATGTCTTACATCTTATTTGAAAACCTGTTCTCTAAATATTGACTTTTTCAGGGCTGATGTTCCTCGGGGAGGCCACAGCCTCTGGTTTAGTTGGTGTGGTTTAAATGCAGATAAGGGAGCAGGTCTTTTTACAAGGTGTCTGGATGACTGGAAATAAATGTGTGTGTGCGTTCTCATGCTTGATATAATTCATTGTATAGTTTGCCTAATGTCTTTACCATGTAAACAAGAAGGTTTGGATTACAAACTGTAAAGGTTCAATTCCCAAGTGGGTAATAGGCCCTAAAATGTCTTATAGTTTGTTTTGTTCCATGCTAATGGAATGAAGCAACAAACCTTATTTTCATAGGTATATAATCACATTAAATTATTCTCTCTCTGATATTAATTATTATCATTCAAAATCTGGTTCAAAATAATAATGTTAAACATCGAGACCAAACTACTTTATGTGTCCATCTGTCAAAATGGTAAACAGTTTGACAACCATTCTAATGACTACGGCCTTCATTAGAAGGCTAAATGGCCTTTTCTTTTTTCATTTAAACTAAATTATCTGTAAATGTGTGACATTTAAGTTGCTTTGTTTCACTTTCTTATCCGATCATCTATTTATTATCCGATTATCTATTTTAGCATTACATTTGACATATATGGTCTAAGTTGCATTGTTTTGCCCAGTATACGTTTGATAAACTGCAGTGCATTTGTGTAATAATTAACTACAGTCATTAATATGAGATGAAAAACGGTAGGAAATCTATATTTTTGAATAACGCCCCCCTCCTCCCCCCAAAAAAAAAACCCAAACAAATAAACAAACACTCCATTCGAACATCCCTGCTGGGCTGTGTTTTTCTAACGTCAAACCATATCCACGTGCTCGCCTCTGTTTACACTGCTGCGCGCTGACGTCAGATGTAGCCCCGCCCCTCACGGCGCAGCTGCCTGGCAACATGAGGTCGAGAACAGGAAGAAGTGCAACAGCCAAGTGACACAAGCTGCAACAGTGGACAGAGAAAAGTGACAGAAAAACAGCGATCGACGCAACATGGAGGACACGGAGAAAGGTAAACAACTTTACTGAGACCCGTCGCTGTGTTGCCGTTATTGTCTATGGGTGTTGACAGTGTTTAGTGACATTATATAAAGTTAGCAAACTAGCTAAACGTTTGCGCAGTGACTTAAAGTTGATCTCGTCGAGACATATGTTAAACTTCCCATGTGAAAAGTCAAACGGTTTTGTTTATATCTTTGTCTGGACATAACATCACTTCGAAAAGGGTATCTGAAACGGGAAAACTTGCCCAAAGTAGGTCAGCCTTTATTACAATTGTGTGGCACCAAAGTAGGTCAGCCTTTATTACAATTAATACGGAAGTTGAGAACTGTACTGTCATGTTTGTTCCTATATGTTGACAGGCGAGTTCCTTCACAACAGCATACAAATAGGAAGTTTTTAGACACCTTATGTTTGACTGAGTGTATGAATTAACTCGTACACTTCACCGAAAAGCCACGTAGAATATTTTAAAATACAAGCCTAAAACGTTCGTTGATTTTGCCACAAATCGTGAGGTAAGCTGAACGAACAGGTTACACCCAACCAACAACTTGAAACATGTTTTTAATGACCTGTCACAGGATAGAGACCCACAAATAGGCAGAAGGATGATTTCCTCATTAATGAACATTGTTATAACTAATACATGTAATTGTGATTCATCAGGGTTGCCATGACTTTCTATTATGTATAATATAGTTCTTTTAATATACGTATAACATAGTCTAACACTGATGTTTTATGTCAGTAAATATATCCAAAATACTATTACTTATGTGTAATACAACAAAAACCACTTCTCAACGTGCTAATGAGCATGTCAAAGTTAGCAATTAGGTTAAAAAAATAAGAAGCTGGCATTAGCTTAGCACTGTTATTTTTATTCTGTAATCATATGCAGGTTGAAGTTATCTTTTGGATCAAAAGGCATGACTGTAATTATATTTATATTTTTGGAAAATGCAGTCGTGGATGACACTGTACAGTCACAGTTCCAATGTTACAGTTACTGTTTTAAACAGAAATCCTTCTTCTGTTTCGGTCGGTGAATGAGGTTAAGCAGGCCTGAGCACATGCACCAGAACAAGCACAGGAGCAAGGAAGCAAGCAAGGAATTTCTATATTGACAATTATAAAAAGTAAACGTGATCACAGTGTTCAGCTACCTAGAATTCCTGCCTGGGTTCCGTGCTCTCTTACAACTTCCTGCACATTTCCTGCCCCTGCTAGGCAGCCATCTGCTCTGCCATTCCTCCACTCCACTCCCCTGTACAGTACATGAGCCTCAGTTTAGCCAACTGAGCCAAGATCTTTGGTTCAGCCTGAGGGATTCTGGGTAGATCAGCTCAAGCTCAGCTCTTGCCTGTTTTCTAGTTTCTAAAACATAATTTCCTGATGTCTGAATGTTCTGCCCAAAGAAGAATTATGACTATTTCATACTGACATTTCTTTTTTAACAGATTTGTTTTGTCTATGTATGTGATATTATGATTAAAAATATTTAGTCATACAGTTCAGTACAGTTGTCCTTTATTGCAAAGTAGCTGCAGTTAACCTGGTTTAGGATAGTTTGTTTAAGCAGTCAGGTGGCAACCGATAATTATTTTCATGATAATTTAATAGGACTAGTTTCTTTCCATATTCATAAGATACAAGATCAGGCAAAGTCCTGAAATGGCTTAATTAAAATCATCTGTCAAAGTCAACTGTCTTGTCAAATATGCCATACATACAGGACATATGACATGATGAAATTTCAGTCTTCTCTGACCCAAGGTGCAAAATGGCAAGAACATTAAAAGAGTAAAGGAGATATTTTCAAGGACCAGTGATATAAAAAATAACAATGTATGTACACGCTCAAAAGAAACACACTGCCATGTGTTTTAAATTATCCACAGTTTTAGTTCAAGTTATTTACCACACAAAATGGCACACATATGCAGTGACCTTTCCAGAAATTAAATTACTGACCACTTCATTAGGTACACCTAATGAACATGTATGCTGCGCGACAGCAAATGAGACGTTAACAACATGATGCTGTGTTGAAATGAACACAGGATCACAGCAACATACTGGAGTTCAAACTGAGCATCAGGTTAAAGTAGGTTTGGTTGGCTTTGACAATTACATGGCAGGAAAAATATGAATATTCAGGGAGAAGCAGCTCCCTGGTCTAAAACCTGAGAAGAAGCTACTGCAGTTGCACAGACGCTCCCAAACGGCAACAGAAGATTTGGTTTGGAAAGGTCCGTGGTACTTTTCCTTCTTCTTTTGCTTCAAGTCAGATGTTCAATAATGTGATGGTCAGACGGACCAGTGCATGTTGTTTTTCAACTCAGACGTCTAACGATGTTGATTTGGAGTGATGACCAACATCACTGATTATGTTTAAATAGGGAACAACTGGACTGAAGGACTGCTGGTACAGTAAACAACCTCCTGCCCCCACAGCTGATGTGTTTCAGCATATTTAAGTATTATTAAGCAGCTGAAATTGTGCGATCTCAGCAGCAGAGTACAAAGAAATATAGGTAAATATATATATACTCTAAACTATGATTTAAAAAGCAATACTTAGAAGTACATATTTGTTAGCACAGTTACTAGAAAAGACACTAGAAAGTGTTTGCTGCAAACACATTCCTGAGAATCTGTATCTATCTGTCTATCTGGAATTGTGGGATAGAAGCCATCACACGAGTCTTCCAGTTAAAGATCAATTAGAACTACTTTGTAGTTTAACAGATGGTGGATTTTAGTGCTCTGATTGGAGAGGACGGTGCTTTCACTGCCTCTTTATGGCGAATTCTTCATTATCCTGTGAGGTTTGGCTAAGATGAGCTCTCACTTGTCTGGTAGCTCCCGCACACACACACACACACAGAGACAGATCCTTCAGCGTGACACAGTACAGACAAACTTCAGGTTTCAGTGTCAAATGGGAAAATGGAGAAAATCAGTCCTAAATGACTCCAAGCATTATATCTGTGATTATGCAGTGTTTCTGTGATGTAACTACCAGACACTGCTGCATTGTAACAGTAGACACCATTGTTTAATCAAATGTAAATACTGTATGTTTACACAGAGGCACCATTAGGGATATGTGGTTCCTCTGGGGCTCAAACCCAGGACCCTCTGCTGATATTTGATTTTAGATTCAAAAGGTGATAATGTGTTAAATACTTGGGTCAGATGTGAATAAATACACGCAGTTTTGGTAACATCTGGAACAAAAGACGACTTCAACTTAGAGTAAGGGATTAATAATAATCAGTACATCTGGATCTACAGAGCTAGTTCTGACCTGAGACCTTGGCACAGTACTTGATATTTAACTAACAGAACATTTACGCTGTTGCAACATGACGGTTGGAAAACTGCGCACAATTGAGCTTATCACGAGGAAACAGGCTTCTCCACAGAGGGGGCTTGTTAATATTGTTAATATAATGGTGTGTCTGCAGATGTTTCCTTCTTTATCCCTCGTCTAAGTGGGTTCTGAGGCTAGTTTTTACCTGAGGTATGACCATAGTAATAACCTCTACTCCAGGCAGCGACAGTTAAGAACGTTAAAATGTTAGTAAAATCAGATGTGATTCAGATTCTTGTTTAGTTTCAAAAGAGAAGAATTTAGAAAGACTTCTGAGTTGTTGTTTTTTTTTTTTTTTTTACGTTCATCTCAGAAGCGTTTGAAAGTCTTTCAGTCTGGTTTCAGAGTTTTCCCAGAATACACAGCAGATAAGAACTCTGTGGCCATGCCAGCTGCATTCACACCACGGCAAGTCCCATGACTACTGTTTTAGGCTCATCATGTGACAGGGTATGGGATAATTGATCTTATGCTGTGCTTCATTAGCCAATTGAAAATGGCTGGCTCCTTCTCAGACGGTCACGGACCACTTTCTTTCATCATCTTTTTTTTTTTTTGTAAAAAAATACCCCAGTTCTACCCAGAATTCACAGTGTTGGTTACGGATTCATATCAGTGTAATGAAATTCAGGAACGTCTGATAACATTTATGAGCAATTCTATTTTAAATCACATTCTTGAATTTAATAACTGCCACAGGATTCCACCGTCTCCAGAGTTAGCAGCTCCTGTTATGCAGAAGTTGTTCAAAATAGACAGAAAAGTGTATTTTTGCCCACACACACACACACACTGCACTTGTGCTTGGATCTTAGAATGTGTCCACGTGGTGGATCCCATCTGTGCAAGATTTAAACTTCTAAAGAAAAATTTAATAGAAAGAGCAGAAACATACAAACGCAGGAGGAGAAAAATCTGTCCTTGGTTTAAGCCTGAGGTTTTTTTTGTGTGTGTGTGATTGTTGGCACTTGATGAGAACGTGTTTGTGTGTCTCCCCCTGGGTGACCTTGGTGAATGAAAGCACAGCACAAATTGAACCGAAATGAATCATACAAATAGAGACACAGTAGCATCTGACTTCCAATGAACGGACGGTTATTGTTGTACTTTAAATGTAGATGTAGATGTGAAAGAACTGCATATCTGTGAGTAATTAACTACAACCCTTCACAGTGTGGTCTTTTCTTTACTGTGGAGCACACAACAGAAACAGGTGACACTCGAATAGGGGGGAAAAAAGCAAAGAGACAACAAAGGAAATGCCCACTGAATGCTGTATGTCAGCTGCAGGTATTTAATTCAGACACTGAAATAATTTTCTTTGTCTGATCTGCCAGCATGTCGATTTACAAACCATCTCCAGTTGGAATAAGAACAGTGGGTCATCAACCAGTCACAGCTGTTCCAGTCTGCTCATTGTCTATCATCAACCTGAGGCGATGTTTGAAAAAGTAAAAAAAAAAATTCTACTGCACACAGCCAAACTAACAGGCTAAGTATCTGCATTAAGCTTTGAAGCTAAATATGCTGGGTTTTATAAAATTAAATAAAATTAAAATGGAAAAAAATTAAAAACAATGTATGTTTTAACTTTATACTAATACATTTAGAGTTTTTGTTAAGCTGTGTAAGGATAAGAATTGTTGTGCAGCTCAGTGTATTTCCTCCACACGTCTTTAGTCTTTCATTGATTTATGTGCTTTAACAAACAACTGCTGTTTTTTCTCACAGTTTTTACTAGTGAAGCGACTGATCGAGGAATTTGTTGATTAGGTCTGATTAGGTGTAACTTATTTCCTAGAATATATCACATCCACACGCTCCTCTGGGAACAGCAGAGTGTTAGCAGTTAGACCAGAACTCAGTGCACGGACAGTGACCCATCTGGTCTGCAGTTGAATTAAGTATAGAAAAAACAATATTTATATTAACAATATCCGTTTATTCTCAAAGGTTTTCGAGTGTTACTTTAACACACATCACTGGTATGTTCAGTTAAACGTAGCAGTTCTTATATAAACACAATAGTTGCCTGGTACTGATGTCGGTAACTGCCCCTCAAACCCACTCTGCCTCTGGCAACTTTCTCCCTTCCATTTGAGTTGTTTGTCATTACTGCTGCTCTAGGATGGAACGGCCAGCCTGGATTATCACTGTAATCTAGGACACTGCAGATTATTCTTTTCATCTAAAGCCCCATCATCATACACTCACTGGCTGATCACGTGACTGATCCACACAAAAGGGACCCTCCCTCAGATGACAAGCTGGATGAAGGAAAGTACACGATGGATGGATGAGGGATGGATGGATGGAAACTGACAGACAGACCTGGGTGTGATGAAAGTGGAGCCTCACTCAGTATCACTGCTGCACCAGCTCTGCTAACTAAACGTTAGCATTAGACCATAGAGCGGATCTGGCTACATGGATATCTGAAGGACGGAGTGAACACTGTACTGTTGGAGAACAGTTGAAAAGGAAGAGATTGTGTCCGTGTGGGCTGGTCTAGAGGAGCGGTTGCTTCAAAGGACAGGTAACTTATTAACAGAAGGAACTGACGGACGAGCCTTCGCACCTTGGCCTCCTTTTCTAATGAAAAATATACATCTGCCTCCACTGTACATCTACCCTGACCTCCTGACCTGACCTTAGAGACTATACAAAGACCTCCTCCCCCGCTCATTCACACACCCGTACACCGAGTGTGACTCCCTGCCACTCAATCATCCAGGAGGCTGCGACACTGCGACGGTCAGCACGCGCCTGAGTCACATGCTGACAATCAGTACTCGGCTGGATCTGCTTAGGTAGCAGAGTGGACGTGGAAGTGGTCCTCACTCGGCTCGGGAACACAGCCGGAGCTGTGAAAGATGGACCCTCTGGAGGAGTACCACTCTCCATTTGACTTTGAACAAGGAGTAAACAGCAGGTACCTCTACCTCTCCCCGACCTACAACGACACGCCACCCTGCTCGCCAGCCGTCAAAGCCAGAGGTATAACAAGAAGGAAAGGGAGAGGCCGTGAGGAGGCCGTGAGGGCGCTGTGTGTGTGCTTGTGTTCTGTTTATGTGTCTGTGTGTGTGTGTGTGCGCAGGATAGCTAGACAAACATGGGCTTGGCAGAGTGGACTGAAAGAATTTAGGGGAGCACAACTGGAAGGGTAAGGAGCCGTAGATAATTAGTTGTGGTGTGCTGGTCAGCAGTTTGTTTTCAACAGTTCATCCAAGTTTAGTGTTGATTAAGAGCATGACCAGTCTTGAGTTTTTAATGGTTATTTTTCTGTGGCGTTATTATATAACTTTAATTCGATTATTCCCTGGATGCCGTCTAGCTGGCTCAGTTCTGAGTTGAGAATGTGTTGTTGATGCTGTGAATCAGTTCAGCTCTGACTGTCTCGGTGTAAATGATGGAATAATTATTAAGTCAGTTATTACTTAGTGACAATTACATTTTTTACACGGAGAAGCTATAATAATACAAATGCTAGAAATTGCACAAAAACTTGCTTTTGAGTAAGGGAATGATCTTTTACATGATTTAATAATAAAATTGTTTAAGTAGTAGTTGAAAAATAATAATCTAAAAAATGTATATCAGAAAAGCAACATGTTAGCCAGACTGTGAGACATACATTTATCTGACTGGTAGCAGAGCAGATAATTAAGGCAGAGAATTGACCTACAGAACAGTCTATATTTGGTGTCCTCACACCAAGTTGGGCTTGAACTATTTCCCTTTTTACAAATCCTGCTTGAACAGTTCTCTCTACAATGACATATGCTCTGTATAGCTTAACAGCTACCAGCTAACTTTGGGGGGGAGGAGGGGAGAGTAGGTACTGTACAGAGACTGGTGTGGACCCCACAACCCTTTGGCTGTAAAACGACTACACTACCTCCTCAGCTCCGACCTCTCTCACATTCAAATAAAGCCAGACATTTTAGCCGTTAGTGACTGCAGTGAAGCAGTTATAAGTAAGAGAGTCCATTGCACAATTCTGTCTGTGTGTGTGTGTGTATGTGTTCTTTGTTTGTGTCACCATACTGTGTCCCCAGTTACAGGAAGAGGAAAGGACAAATGAAAGACAAGAACCGAGCCTAAAAACAAACAAAAAAAAAAGACTCACCTAAGGTTGAGGTCTTATTTAATGCTAAAAGTGAGTATAATCACACACTGGCTCTCACCGTGTGAGAACACTATGTGAAAAATGTCATTTCACAAGCATGGATTGTGAGGAAATATCACAACTCTCTGTAGGAGTGTGCACGTTCCAGCTTTTTGACTTTGCGGTTCTCGGCACCGCCAATATATCTCACTTAAAATGTTTTTAAAAGTAGAGGGAATCTGGAGGGAGGATGGGTGTGTGTGGAATGAGGTGGGAGGAAAGGTTGTAAAAAGAACAGGGGTCACAGCACATCCCTGTGGCTGGAATTCAGCAATGGTAAAATATAAATATACTGTATATATGGAACTCACCTCATCAGAGGCTGGACTCTGTTGTGTGTTTAATTTACATTTGTGTGTTTCATTAATGAAAAATATATATATATGAAATACAGTAGTCGTGATAATGTAATAGAGTACATCTCTAAATATCCAATTGAAGCTTGACTTCACCTAACTGGACCAGATAGCTCAGCTCTAAGTGATGTCGGGAGGGGAAATATAGACGAGGCTTTTCTACCATCTGTGTCGTCAGTTAACATCTCGATCGTGTCTCCCTCCCTGCTGAGTTACCAGAATTCACCAGAAGTCCCCCACTTCAAACATCGTCCTACTTCTACAACTGGGTTTTCCCTATTTCCTTCGACAGTTGTGCTGCTGTGTGTCTCATGCTGTCCCAGCCCAGGATGTCTCCATCACTGTAATATTGATGTACTGTTGGTCTTAACGAACAGGGGTTTGCCAGAGAGAACCACCTCAAAGGACAAACTGTGACTGTGTGTGCAGTGAAATTAAGACCGACTACGAATGGACGCTCTGTTCTGCTGCCAATGGAAAAGGTCACAAATGTTTTTACTAGCCATTACCTTGTAATAGCTTAGCTACCTGTGAAATGTCAGTTCAGGGAAGCCACAGGACGATGGTTAATTAATAGGAGACAGAAGACACACAGCTGTGTTCACTCCCTGTTTTTGCAACATCTAATCCAGTTAAGACTAGGTTTAGGGAAGAATACTGGACAAACTGGGTTGTCCAGCTCCACTGCTGTCTTATTTCTAGTCTCTGAGCAGAGGTCTGTGGGCCACATGTGGCTCTGCGTTTGATATCAAGTTACAGTGAAACCTGCTCTGTTGCTTTACCTCACAAACACTTTGCCTATTTGGGGCGTGATTGCAAGCAAAGTAGACACAGTCAGCCGCAGACTGTACCATCACAGGTAGGACACGCACAACTCTGCCTCTGATTGGCAAAGATTTGCTCAACTGACTGACGACAGGCAGAATAAACTTAGTGATGTCTTCATGGTCCTAGGACGGACCTGGACTGTAACTTTTCAACTTCAATTCAACTATTTCTTCTGCTCATACTTCAGACGAACAAAGAAATACATCCTCTTGCGTCATACTTCATGACGCAATCGCAGACATCAGTGTTATGGAGGACGTGTCATGATGAGACTAAAATGGACTTGTTTTGTCCCATCAGGCTCTCAGGAACATTCTGACTCAGTCCCAGAGGTCGGAGAAGATGCAGTGTCTTCTGTCAGTTCACCTACACCACCCACTGCCTTGTCAGAAGAGGAGCGACAAGAGCTGCAGGAAGAGTTGGTCAAGGTAAGCAGGGATCAGGTGTGACCAACCAGAGTCAAGATTAGGTTTCAGATTAGTCCAGTCACTAACCAATCAGAGATTTATTTTGACCAGTTTGGAAGCTTTGGTTGTCCATCTTCTGTAAGCCTCATTCATAACACAAACCTCAGTGGTCTGAAGCTGCATTTCTTTTCTTTAGCGTTGTGACTTGTGTGTGTTTGTGTCCAGGTGGAGGAGGAGATCCAGACTCTGTCCCAGGTCCTGGCAGCCAAAGAAAGGCTGCTGGCAGACATCAAGAGGAGGCTGGGCATCACACCTCTGAATGAGCTGAAACAGAACATCACCAAGACCTGGCAGGATGTCACCACCTCTGTGGCGTACGTACCGTACTGGCCCGCCGCAGCATAATGACATTTGACCCCAAGAAAACACACTAGTTGTTATTTTTTACGTCAGTCTCTGTCAGTTGTTTTGGTTAATTATATCCTTCCTTTTGATTTGTCTCGTTGAAGAAAACAAACCAGAAACCTTGTGACCAGCAGTTAGACGTTACTGTTGTCGACCTGTTTCATCAACACATTTCTCTGAGCAGCCTGAATACAAGAACAACAGTTACTTTCTTCCTCATCTGGACTATGAGGAAGATGTCAGTGTCCCTGACTAGTTGTCTGTGTCTGTGTCCCGGCTGTAACCGATTACTTTGACATAACAGGAAATGAGATGCATTCCTATACTTTCAGGCTCTGAAAAGTGAAAACAACATGGTTCAGATCTGACCTTGATGTTCCTCCGTGCTCTTTGATCTCCATCTCTTCTCATCGCTCTCATATCCTCTCTCTTTGTCCGTCTCCTCTTGTCTCTTTCAGCTACAGAAGAACATCTGAAACACTGTCTCAGGCCAGTTTGAAGGCCACGGCAGCTTTCTCTAATGTCGGCTCAGCCATCAGCCGGAAGCTGGAGGACGTGAGGTGAGACGGAGGACACAGTCAGTGCTACTGCATGTCTCAGAACAGTTTCAGTAAACAAGTTGATGTGCACAAGGTTGTCAAATAAATCTCAACCAAAGAAGTGATTTGGTGAGGTGTGAACGGTCCTGTCTTTGTCTCTGATGTTTAAGTACCTCCAAACTGCTGACATTGTTGATCACCTTAAAAAAATTAGCCCGAGAGCAACAAATCAACTACAGTATGAAAACATCTGCCTTATAAATTGATTGACATTAAATAATGTTCCCAAATGTCCTCCATGAAGACAGTAATACTTCAATTTAGCAGTAATGCAACATGGTGAAACATCTACCAGCCTCAGAGATACACTTCCTGTTGACCCCCACTCTTTTCACCACATCCCCTAATCTGCCTTCCTCCCCGTCATCCTTCTCCTCTCTGGATTACTGAGCTGCAAACAAGATTATTAGGGCATTTAAAGTTGCAGTGAGCGGAGAACTGCAGCCGCACGGACGAGTGTCTTCTAAAAGTAAATCAAAAACCTGAGGTGGCTCTGTAATGGTTTAGGGCTCCGTTTGAAGTAAAGATGTTCATATGGTTGAATTTAATGTCAGATCCACAAATCCTTGACCTTCTAGAAAAACAGCTTCTTGTAATTTGGCCTATTTGGGTTGAAAACATAAACTCCAGTTGCCAAAGTATGCTCACGACAGCAGCTGGTGGAATGCGACGTAGAGTAGAATAAAAGACGTTATGTACTGTGTGTGTCGAGCCTGCATATTTCTCTTTGTCTCTGCCTTGTTTTCTGTCTTTTGCAATGCTTCTTCACTAAGCACTAATGCTCCTTTTCTTCTCTGTAATGCTGTCGGACAGCATGCGCTCCATACAGCACTCAGCTAGTATGCCTGTCATGAGGTAAGAGGGAGTTTGTGTGAATGTGACTGGCTCAGATGTTGAACTGTAGTTCCACTGACTGTGTGTACAGTGGCCTCATCAACTATTATCAGTGACACTGGTGACGGATTTATCAGCCCACAGTCAGACGTCAACATCACATCACACTTATAGAGGACATAACATTGACACCCACCGTTTAACGACAACTCGTCACAAGAAAGGGCGTCCAATATTTTTTAATAATGCTGAGATTTTCCTGTGATGCCACAGATAACAATACGTCTGTTAGCCTTTTTTGTATTGAGCTCAAATTGATTTATGGCCAATGAGTTATTGAACTGCAGAACACAAAACATGATCTGACTCCTGCACGGCTGAAAAGCTGCCACAGAGTATCAGGTCACCGCTTTATTATGTTCACATATATTGTTTTGACCAGGTTGAGATCAATGCAGTCAAGGCAAAAAGATGTTGACGTTATGGGATAATTTCATTGACTTGAAAAGACCCTGTTTCAATGCAATCAACAGCTTTGGAAACACAATAGAATGAGGTCAGATTAGAAAATCCAGCATTGTCCCTGCTGAGTGTCAGGTGACATTACGTCTACAGGTGTGATCACAGAGGACGTCCTGCAGTCACCCACTGTAGTTATAGGTAGTAAACTTCTTCATATCAGCCGGTCCTTAGTTTATATCCCTGATTTGACTGTTTTTCTTTTGTCTGCCCTTCACAGGAAAGCACCAACTTTTAAGACATTTGAGGAAAAAGTGGAGACTTTAAAGGTAATTTTCTAATTTCTCTGAAATCTCTCTTGTCAGAGTGATTCATTTTTAAAACATTTGTTAATGTCGTCTGAATCAGACCAAAATGACACCATCAGCATCCACCACCAACACCACGGAGGAGAGCAGCAGCAGCCCACCCTCCGACACTTTGCTCACCCCACCTGAGGAGCAGGACTCACCCAGCCAGGACACACTGATGCACTGAGACCTGGCTGACCCCCTCCTCTCCACTTCCTCTCACGCTCCTCACCCTCCATCTTCACCCTTACATCATCCACACCCATGAGCCAGGCTCCTTTGTCTTCACTCCCTGCTCCCTCCCCGTCTGACTTGGGCGTCACTAGTTAACTTGTGTGGAAACTGAAGGCAGACGAGTGTGTCGGTGTGTGTGAGTGGGTCAGAGCAGATGTGCTTCCTGTGCCAGACCTCTATTTTTGTTCCATATTGGAGGAATCTTTCTTCTCTTACCTTACACTTCTTCTTTCCAACTTTTCCTCCTTCACTCCTTCATTTCCTGCCTGTGTCCAAACCAGGAAATATCTGAAGCCAAAGTCAGCGTTAACTTTTCCCAGTCTCCTGTGTCAAAGAAACAAAGTTTGGAAAAACTTGATTATAAAAAGAATTAACACTTAAAGCTTTATTTTGCGTGTGAACCAGGCAGAGGTTGGTTTGTAGCTTCTGTATCAAATGCTGGATTTATTATTAGATAAATTGGTTATTGGTTTATATATATTTTTTTTCTTTCCTTGTTGCTGGGGGCCGGGCGGGGGGTGGGGGGCCATCTGTTTTACTCACTGTATCCATTTTAGCCCAACATAAGGTAGTCTAACACTGTGTTCCACATATGAATGTACACCTGTTTTGCGTCCTGCAGGTACAACAGAATCTAAAGCTGCCATTTCAAACCCATTTTAAAATAAAAAATATTCCGTTACATGAAAATCAAAAGCAGTGCCGTGGTGAAAACCAGAAGCATAATGAAAAAAAGTCGTGGTTCAGCTGTGACCTGAGGTGGGAGTGAATCAAATATCTCTCCACAGCCAATACAAATATATCAAACCTTTGTCTTTTGTCTCTGTTAGGGAGGCGACACCTAGACTCCCTAAAGCGGAGCAGTGCTTCAGTGATTTGTCATTTTTTACACTGTTTTAAACAAAGGATTTTGATGTCATTTTTTGGTGTTTTTTGCCTCCCGGTAATTGTGATCATGTTGATTCACTTTAATAAAAAAGTCTTGGCAAACTGCAGATTTATACAGTATTCTGTCGTATATTACTAGTATAATTTGTTGCTTAACTGTTGCCACCACTGGTTCAGAATTGGGGCAGAAGCACAATAATAGTCTCTTACATTTCTTCACACTAAATAATAAACCTGCTAAAGTGTGTCAACAAACTGGGTGGAGCCTGGTTTATGAACAAACAAACAAAACCCAAACCAAAACAATAGGGATCGAGGAGATTCCTCACATTTCCAAGTTCTAGATAATATAAAGCAGTCATTATCAACTGCCTATTTTCATTCTTATTTTTTATCAAAGCACTTTTTTCACTGTATCTACTGCAGCAGTGATCAAAGCTATAAACAGTGGACGCCTCCCCTGTGATGGGGCACGTCAAGCTTGGTGCATGTCTTCCCCCTGCTGGTGGAAAACCGAATAAACTGAAACTCGTTCTCTCTTCAGAAAAGTCGTCTTTTACCCCCGGTTTAAAATAACTACTCACTGACTGTGGTTCAGTATCTCGAGAGAAAGCTAAAGAAACGAGATTAGCAGGTTAACGTTTTTGCATCGGTACAGTTTTCAGAACATAAACATGTCACGTGACCCAGATCACACAGAACACAGCCCTGTATTTACTCGGTTAATTTGTAATAAACCACACCAATAACTGAACCAAATATGAGTTCATTTCTAAAACAGTGGGTGATAAAAGTAGAATTATAATTAAAACAACCTGTCACATGAAAACGGATCAAATGTACCTGCAGTAAATAAGACATAAAGACGTATATTTTTTAACCTGTTAATTTCTGTAATTTCTGTGAACGTGATTATCCACTAGAAAGAAATGCTTTATTATTATTATATAGCTGTTACTGACGACACCTGAGGGTTATATTAAGCTCTCGCTGCAATGTGTACTTTGACCACAAGAGGGCAGCCAAGAACAAGCTGCACGAGGTTGTTTTTCTCAGAATCAACACTGACTCACAGGAATAAGGAGGTGGCCATTGTTATATTTAGAAAATGCCTCAGAAACAGAGTGACTTTCAGTGAGATTTCAGATTTCTGAGGGAATCTGTGAGTCTTGACACTGCTGCCAAATCTCCAAGCTGTGTTTGGGTTACTGCACATGAGGAATTTGTGTTTCTCCTTGCCCCTGTGGGAGGTGTAATATGGGCAGGGCAGGGATAAGGTTGCAGCTCATGTTACTGATACTAACACTCCCACCAATCTGGGCTTAAATCTCAAACGTGGTGAGAGTTGTGTGGCTGTTTCTTATCAAATTTTGATCACGCCTCACCCCAACAGCCTCGACTGAGCACGTTTACATAAAGTTACTGACAGTAAAAACACAATGGGATCAGATGTGTCCAGTGTTGTACTTTTACAGTCAACAGAAGGGGTGAAATGTACAGGTCTAATGTTTTTTTCCACTACTGTTGGCAAACGTATTTCCTTCGACTTTATGCAGTATTAGAGAGTGGGCAGTTGGTCGTTTACCAAGCCAAACGTTTGTTGTTCCGCTGGTCTGCATGCCAAGTGCGCCTTGGCAAGACTCTCAGGCACTAGGTTGACTACTGTATTTGACTGTTTTACTTGACAAGGTCCGGTGAGTTTAAAAGTACACTCCAAAGGTAGGCCAGAGCGAACATTTAATATCATTAAAACTTGTTTTTTTTTTAGGTTTAAGCTGAAAAAACTTTGCTGCATGGACTGTTGATCTAACAGGGTTTCAAGGGCAGCTCAAATACCCCCCAACCCCCCCAAGTCCGTCCAGGGTCACAGGGTAGGGAATAGAGGAGGGGTTATCTCAATCAAAAAATGAACATGTCAAATCATATAAAAAAAGTCTGTCATTAGCAGAGGAAGACACAATCACAGCAGCACACAGACATCTGCCAAAAACAAAGTCTTTATTCAGTTTCACCCAGATACCTTCAGAGTTTTCTAGTTTGACCGATCGCCCTGAAGAAGGTCTCAACTGTACAATGAGTCAAACAACAACAACAACGACAACGGCACTAAGAACACAATTGGTCAAAAAACACCATTTACAACAAAACATCGTCAATTAGTACACAAACAGACTGAAGTGGGGGTGAGGGGAGGGGAGGGGGAGAGTGTGGTAGAGGAGGTAACAGTCAGAGAGTGCATCAGATCTTCTCCTGGGAGAATAATCATGTTATATTTATACACACTGTGGAAACAAAGCATCATTGGTTCGTAGAGTATCGTGATGTGAAACCTCAGATACATATTGCAAGTGCGTCTGTGCTGTGTTGAGTTACTGATGACACTGTATATAAGCTCAGTGTCTGTCTTTGACCACCACGCGCATGTGTGTGTGTGTGTGTGCGTTACGATGTAGCTGTGCAGAAGGAGAACATTCAGTTCAAACATGGCTTTGTGAGTGTGTGAGTGTGTGTGTGTGAGTGTGTGAGTGTGTGAGTGAGCTAGAACGTTCAGTAAGAAAACCCTACTTTAACAACTTCTATGATTTCCTTTCTAACCAGATACCGTGAAAATACACTGGGAGTCTTATTAAAAAGGTAAAGTGTGACCAAGTGCTTTAGCTCAGTGTAGCTTAGCTTCTCAGAAATACTCCTGTGTCAACAGCTCTCATCGACACTGAGAGCATGGAGATACATATAATTAAGGTCAAGGAGTTGTGTTTACTTTTCCGTGTTTATTCCTTTCCTTATCCATTTCTGGACATGAACACATATTTAACGTTACGTTTACTAACCCTGTCCTAAACTCTCAGAACAGGACAACAAGGACTGATAAATGCTAAAGGCAGGGTTGAGGTAAATAAGTCCAGGCCTCAGAGTCTCAGAGACTCAAGTCCGACAACATCATTATCTGACAAAAATCAAACGTTTTCTGCTGTGACTTAAGACTCAAACCCAAACTCAATAAAGTCAGACCAAAACTCAGACTCAATTTGAACCCAAACACTGAGAGGACAACACTGCAATGCTGCAGGGAGGACGGCATGCAACAGCCAAAAGTTGGCAAGAAGTAGCTATTATTTCTCAGCTGCATGTCATTAGCAGATGGGAACTGCTGCCAACTTTTGGCTAGGGAACTGGCTTGCTTGGACTGTACAAGTTGGAATTACAATTGAAAGATTTGTAAAAACCCTGTAGGCCTAGTGTATGCTAATCCACTGGAAATAAACAAAAGTGTTACGGTTCTTTTTTCATAAAGACCTGTTGCTGTAACTATGAAAATGTAATTTATCTCAAGCAAAAAAAAAAAATATATATATATATATATATTTCTCTTCTGCCGTGACCGTTTCCCTGGTGTCGACCTGCTGTGGCTTCAAGGTAAACTAAAGGAAGCTGCTAATTTCACGGACAGCACTGATGGCTATCAGCTGAGGTCATGGACGGAGCCTGTCATACATTTGCTGTTTCTCCTCGCCCTCATCAATTATTCAGCAGTGGAGGGAGGGCGGGGGGTGGGGGGACACACCCACCTCCACCTCCACCTCCACCTGCACCACACTACAACATCACTGAGACCTGTCTAAAGCCGGGATAAACATAGCCACAAATCGCTGCATCAAAACGACCCCGGCTCACCTGAAGTAGCAGTCATGTGACCTGGTGTTGAGCAGAGTGAACAAGTGAAATCGTTTCACTTACATTTCACTCTGTGGCCCGATGGAAAAAAACAATACCCCGACGACTCTGTTAGCTGTTCACGATAATGAGGTGCACAGGCGGTGGCCGGTGGGAAAAACAGCACCAAGGAGATTTATTATGGTATGTCAATTTGGAGTTGATAATGTACGAGGTGTGACAGCGTGCGTTTATGGCCACAGGAATAGCCTGATCAGGTTTAGTGGGGAGTAGACACACACGGACGGTCACATGATCCGGCTTTTGCTTTTACACTTTTCTCGCACAAGCGGACAAACAGGAGGAGGCGTGAATGCTACATTGAGCAGATGGGACATACCTTAGGTGGTCAGCTGCGACACACACTGTTATGTCCTACCACACACACCGAACACACAAATTTGATAAGGCGGGATGCGAGCGGCCTCCATCAGCAAGCTCCTCACATTGTGACAGAATGAGACCCGAAGCCACGGCGACATATGTTGAGCAGCAACATAATGTCCTGAGAGTCATTTTACACAGCGGGCTCTTTAATTCACTCGTGCTGCGTGTGTTTGTGTGGCCATGGCTTTCAGTCTTTATGGGCCTTAGAGTGTGTGTATGTGTGTTGCGTTTAAATATCTGTGTGTGAATTGGCATTGTGTCAAAAGGTCAAAACATCTATTCCAGTCCCCAACAGAGGACGGTTTTATGTGGACCATTATAAGTCCTTACAAAATAACATCATAAAATCAGAACAACATGATGGGGATTTTTTTCTATTTGTTTTTAACTCTTTCTGTTTTTCTGATATATATTCAGAGCAACATTTTGGCCAATTTGTAACATTTTGTTTGGTTACTTTTAGCTACTTCTGGTGAGATGTTTGTATTCTTTTGAATAGTAATGCTGTCATGAACCTACTGTGGCCTAACACTCCCTTGCTGTGCATTGTCTATGTCGACCAGAAGACAAAGCCGAAATGCTTGGTAGAAATCTGGTAACAACTTCTAGTTAATTGCTTTAAACCTAACACGACAACATATGTTAACAACCAAAGCAGTTGCTTCAACCTAATTATTGTGTTGGGTGTCGCAGGAGGAGCAGTTGGCCCTCGGACGTTTTTATATTAATAGATGTGACTCCGCTTGAAAAGATTTTGGAAACATCTGCAATTTGTCCTCTCAACTTTGGACTTGGACTGTGTGTGTGTGTGTGTGTGTGCAGCAGCCCGGGTTGTGCAACACCAGTGGAAATTCTACCCAAAGGAGTTTTATGAAAGATTAATCAGACAACAAATGTTTTCAGCTCAGATGAAATCTGAAGGCCTTCCTCATACATTCTACTTGATTAATGATGCAGCCTCACATCAATGTTGTATCCGCCTGTGCCTAATGGTGAATATAGAAAT